GTTTTTGTTAATCTCTCCTTATCTCTTTGCTTTCTAATTTTTCTTTACTACTAGTGGATTGTCCGCGCTATGCACGGTGCTTTTCTAATGTTATTTGTTAAAACTTTTTTATTTTGTAATAGTAGAATGTTGATATTTTTTTCTTATTTTTTTTACTAAATTGAGTATAATTATAAGCTGCAGAGAAATTTATTTACTAAAACAAGATTTGACTACATATTGAATAAGGTATGATTGTTATTATCCATTGTACAATGTATTTATGATGTAAAATATGGATGTATGGTAGGGAGTTGACATATTTTCTTCTATTAATACAAACAGATTGGACGGTCTTTGTTTTCCTCTTCTTGTGTTGGCATCCTTGATATCTCAAGATTAGCGATGTGTAAGTCCACGTCAATCATATTTGTATTGTAACTACGAAGTAGATATCCATGTAACTGCAAGTCCAATAATTAATATCTTATCTATACTTAAGTAGTTGAGCATCCTGTTTCATGATCATTGCCAGATTGAATAATGATTTATGAAAAGATATATGTAACTTAGCCTATTATAGTATGTTTTGTGAACTACATTTAGATTTAGTGGAGCTTATCAAACATAGAAACATGACAATTAGTGCTAAAAAATAGTTGACTCAATGGAACATGAACATTTCCCTATCTAAAAGTGTTTTTTCTCTTTTTGTGGTGATTCTTCGAGCTCTTTAGCAAACTTTCATACATCTTCAAGTTTTTTTTTTGATGACATGACATTCTTAGTAATACTGAGAATGTGACGTTTGGAAGAGAAACTGATTTGAGGGAGCGGAAGATGAAACTAACTACACTAATATAATAGCTGTTTTAGTGAGAAGTTTAGATGACGTGACAGCTTAAAATTAAATATTAAAAAGTTGATGTGGACACCATATTTGATTTGTTTAAGACCTCAAAATTTGGTGATCTCAAAATTTGGATTCTTTTTATAATGTTTCTCTATCATATTTTGCTTCAACAATACCTCTAGATGAGGAAATGAAAATATTAGGTATAGAAACCATCGACTTCATCTCTCTCATTCTAGATTTCTTCCGTGAAACTTTTTATCATTCTAGAAGTTTGAAACTTCTTAAATTAATGCATATATATATATATATATTAAAGCATATATATATAGACATCATTATATATATAATGTATAATGTATAATATAACTAAGTTTGAAACTTCTTAAATTAATGCATATATATATATATATTAATGCATATATATATATATAACATTCTGGTTTTTTTTCTTCTATAAAGCATAAACTACTGTCACAAACAATTAAAATGATGTCTATAAATACTCAAAATCACTAATAATATGGGGCCCACCATGTGGATAATAGTGTTTTTACTACTATATGATGTCAAAAAAAAAAAATACTACTACATAAGAGAGCAAATGAAGGCCGAGAAGTGATTGATTCCCCATTCTATTTTTTTATGAAAATGTTCCCGAGCCACCAGTCCCTTGCTTGTTGGCATTTCTGACCAAAAACATGTGCATCAACTTGCGTACTCTCACCTATGATTTTGCATTCAATGCTGAATTTTGGTAGAATTATAAGCGTTAGACTTGAAGATCCTTAATTTGAAAAAGAAGTTGGTGCTTCTAATTCCCCGCTTAAAATTCATTTTTATTCCAACTTTATGTCTTTGACGACTTGGATCATAATGAAAACGAAGCTCGTAAGACATATAACTTCGATCATCAATAAGAAGTAAGAATTACTCTTACTTTATTCTTTGATGAGTCCACCATGTCCACAGCACATTTCCTCCTTCATGGCAGCCGTTTTTGAACACTTATGAGGATCAACAGAAACAGAACAAAGAGATTCGACATAAGAGTTTTACATGTTATGAGAAGTTGAATTGAACAGTAATGTTTTAAATTAAGACAAGAACAGATCATAAATGAAATGATATTTTCATATGTAAGCTCGTGGTAATCTAAATATCTTAAGAGTAGCTAGGTTATCCCATACGAGCTATGGCGAGTAAATAAGACGTTGTTGCCTCTCCATATGTTTGTTCAAGACTCGAGAGTGCTGCCTAAAAAAAATTGGAAATGATTCATAAGAGAATGAATATCACAGGCACAATATACAGAGATTCATATATTCATATTTACATGCATAAATGCACATAGAACCATACCTGGAGAGAACATTAATGGAAGCTTGTTCAAGTAAAAGAGATGTGTTTACATTTGCCACAAAAATAGTTGATGACGTCTTTTCTGATTCTCTCTTGCCACAATCTTGATTGCTTCAATCATTTCCAAACACTACTCTCCTCTGACCTTTTGCCTTAGTTGTCAGGGCTGCTGCTTTTGTTTTATATGTCGCATCATTCATGTTACTCTCCCTTGCTCAACAATCTCTGTTCCACATCTTCGACACCAACAATTCCTCACGATCTATCCCTCTTTTGTTCATGTATTAGCTATTATTATATTCATCACCTGAACTGGGGATCCTTGCCGATGGCTTCCGTTTTGCTTCTGTGGGCCCAACCAATTATCATCATATCCACTTTATGAAATTGTTTCTTTCTCTCCATCTTATAGGCTTATGGCATGTGCTTTTGACACTGCTTAATAAGACAACAGTCACAACACCCACCTTATGATACAAATCTAAAGAATATACATCTAACATCAATGGAGCTATTATGTGGACTTTTTCTTATATCATATTGTAATTAATACATGATGTAAATTGTGAAGGAATTAGCTAGATTCTTATATTCTGAGTCAGGATTTCGGACTACAATCTATTCACTATAATCTTGTTCCCCAAAAATAGAAGCTTACCAGAAATTGCTACACCAGATATTGTTTGAAAAGAAGTGATCATAGTTAAGAGTAGTTACTACTTACAAAGATCTGTAAATTAATCAAAGTCACAAAAATGCATGGCAATTAGTCCCTCAAGTTAGTGTGGTTAAATGTGGACATTGAAAACATGTATGAGTGAGACATGAAGGCATATATTTAGAAGGATTCAGAAAGCATGCCAATTTCTCATTAGCTTCCATGATATGAGATTGTGATTCAACCCAAGACCATTTTATTAAGACTATTCACTGAACATAAAAAATTCAGCTAAGCCAAGCCAGAGTTTATTCTAACTTCAACCATACTTACAGAATTCAACAACTCTTTTTCTTTTGTAACGTACCTTTTAAATCCCTTGCTTGATCCATGGCTCCAAGTTAGCTTGGCAGATGGTCTATGCCATGCTTCTTTACCATTTTGATGTACCTTAAGAAAAAAACTTATATTAAGTGATCACAAATACAACTCAGCTGAAATGGAAGTAGGGCGTGAAGGGAGAAAACAAAATATAAGAAGGGGTCTAATATTTTATGAGTATCAAGTGATTTGACTGAAAATGTATTTATCCCATATAAAATACATGAACGAACCATGGTTGTGTATTCATATATCAGCTGATCAACTAATAATTAGCTCACAAATTATACAAATCGTGAATGTGATATGGAAACAACTCCAAATATCAATGAATTCTAATTTTCAGATGTCTTAATTCGTATGAAGAATAAAGAGAAGCTAAACACTCCCTTCAAAATATATCTCGTCCTCTCGTTCATGTTTCTCGCTAACCTCTAGATGTACTCACCCTTTCCAACGCTTGCATTCACATCTTCTTCTGAATTGGTCAGCGTCAAGAGCTTATTTATCATCATGCACTCGATGCATCTCCAAAACCACACAAAGACAAACTCAGTATATCGGAGATGAATTTAATATGAATGAAATTAATATATTGGTCAGAAGAAAATCCATAACTTGAAGAAAATAATAAGAAGAAAGGAATTGCAGATTTGAAAGTGAAAATTGAGGAGAAGGGATATTTGGAGAGGGAGTAGTAACTCTTAAAAGAATAATTGATAGAAGACGGAGGTTTTCTATATGATCTAATTGAATGCGTAACTGACATCACAACTTATTAAGAACTCCTATAAGAAAATGTATCGGCAGAGAAGTTTGTCGTAGTTGGAAGGGAAAGATGAAAATGAATTTTGGTGTATGACACATGGCAACTTTAGGAAGAATTTTTTTTTGCTGAGGTGAACATCTTCAGAGGCCTTAAACTTCTACTTTTATTAGAGTAGATTTCTTCGAATGTTATACGTAAAAATAAAGATATTATATACTATTTTACATGTTATACGTATCTGATATTATTGTTAACACGTTAACATATTATAAAAAATTTGTAACCAACTAACATAATTTGTTAACGTACTAAATATAATATATAAAATGTGTAACGAATACAAGATATTTTTGTTAGCATGTTAACAAGTTTTAGATATTATTATTAGCAAGTTAACATACTATATTAACACTTTAACGGATAATATTGTTAACTGCTAATAAATATCAGATAGCATATTAACAAGTATTATATATCATGTTAACGAATATTAGATATTATTATTAGCATGTTAACAAAAATCAGATATTATTGTTAGTTTGATAACATACTATGTTATCAGATTACATCATGATATGATAACTGGATTAACACGATAACTGTATTAATTTTCATATTTTTGTTAACGATGATGCATAGTATCTGTTAGCTCGGATGAATAATGTTAGTTTGGATGAATAGTGTTAGCTCGGATGAATAGTGCTAGCTCGGATGAATAGTATTACAATCTATCCAACATCAGTAACTTAATAAATAATTATTTATGATGAATGTCATTTTTGTATTTAACATAAAATACAAGGATAATTATGGGATAAATTTTCTTTCTCTCTCCTAATCACCTAATATTTCTCTCTCCTAATCACCTAATTTTTAAATCAACTTTGTTATTTACCCAATTTTTTTGTTCAACCATTGATATTCACTAAAATCACCCAACATACACTTACGTTATAAATATTTCTTTTTTTTTCACGCCTAGTGGGACGGTATAGGCGTTTATGAAATAATTAAATTTTATTTCTATCAATTCGTAGGAGCCGTTTACTATTTACAGCTTCGATCCAGTGTTGAGTAACCCACTGGGAGCACTCTCATCTTAACCAATCGAATGAAGAACCTCTCTGAAAAGAGTCTCTCTCATCTTACCGTACACGTGTCCATCAGATCCTCGCTTAACTATCTCCTCTCCTAACCTAACGGTGGCTTCAACAGTCTCCGTCGCACTACTGTGAACGGTATCCACAATCCCCATCTCCAAACCTTTATCCGCCGTCACTTTCGCCGCCGTCAACATCACATCTCTTCTCGCCGCCGGAGATCCAATTCTCTTCTGAATCACAGCCATAAACCATAACGGTACTTTAAGCTCGATATCCAATTCACTCATATACAGAAATCCTCTATCGCGACGCATCAATATATAGTCGTGACTCATCGCGAAAATAAATCCCGCGGCGGAGGCGTGACCGGTGACGGCGGCGATCGTCGGCATAGGAAGAGAGATGAGATCGGCGACCAAGGATCGGAGTTTCGCGTCCATAATGAAAGGGAGAGACGGATCTGATTTGGCTAAGGCGAGATCGTAGCCGTTTGAGAAGAATTTTCCGTGTGATGTTGTGATGAGAACTGATTTTAAAGACGATGGATCGGAACGGATTTGGTTGACGGCGGAGCGGATGCTGTCGAGTAAAGTGGGGTTGAGACGGTGTTCGCCGTCGCCGGTAAGCGTGAGCAAGAAAAGTCGATCACGCTTCTCCAACGAACACATCTTCCTCTCTCTCGTTGACTAATTTGAGTTAATAATAGCAAAGCATGCGTATTAAAAATATATTTATTGTACATATGAGCATTCGTATGCAGTATGCACCATCTATATAAAGCTAATATATTTAGATTAGGCAAATTACCAAACCGAACCAAATTGTTTTTCATTCTGTAAACTATTTTTATTTTGAAAAAATTCTCAAAAATATGATTAAAATAATATTTCCAAATATATATATCATAAATTTTTCTTTCTAAAACTAACACAAATATTAATTTTTTCCACAAATATCATAAAAGTAAAAATAAAATTTTAATTTTCAAAACTTAATTTTAACACTCAAAAATAAACCTTAAACCTTAAAAACTAAACTCTAAATCCAAAATAATGAACCTAAATATAAATACTTAAATTTTTCATTCGAATAAATATCAAAACAAAAATTAAATATATCAAATTTAAATGTGTATGATAGTATATATTGCAAAATAGGTTAAGTAAATGATTAGTTCAGTTTAACAATATTATTAATAAAAATTAGTTAGATATATTATAAAAATTTCAAAAAATATATAAAAAAACATTACCACATACTATAGCATGAGTTCAATCATAATCAATACTATAACTAGGTAATAATGCACCATGCACGAGATGAGATTTACCTTAACTTTTTTGGGAGGTTTGTTTTTTAAAAAATAAAATTTAAAAAAATATTCTTAGTGTAAATCATATAATTGTTGTAAAAAATTGTTGTGATAACGGGCAATTAGCAAAAATAGGATAATATTTTTAAATTATGTGAAATATATAATAAAATTGATATGTATTTTTATTTGGGAGAATTGCTTTTATAATGTTAATTGAATTAGCATTTGTCCCTTTAATGTTTTATAAATAAAATTTGTCTCTTTAATGTTTAATTTAAATTTAATTCAATTATACCCTTTAATTTCGAATTAATAAATAAATTAATTTTTTAAATAATGTTTTATTAATAAAAAAACAAGTAGAAAAGAGTTTCTACTCAAAGCATAAAAAAAAAACTTACGAAACCCCGATACTATCTCTTCACCGTGTCTCCACCTTCTTCTCTGATTACAGTCACCGAAAAAGCAATTTTCGGTAACTAACCTAGCTCGTTTTTCTTCATCAGCCACAAAAATCCACTTCTTATTTGTCTCTGATTTTCATGAACCACATGTGACATAGATATGAAGCACGTTTGAAGCAGAAGATATGTAAACTTAGAGAAAATCTGCTTGATCAATGTGAAAGAAGAAGAAGAAGAAAACGATGACAGTTAAAAAAAAGAAAAAAAAAGTCAAAAACAGATAAAAACGTGGAAAATTAAAAATAATAAATAAAAGAGTTTCGAAATTTTTTAGATCTGGGAATTAACTAATTTTCCTAAATTTTCTCAGATTTTGGTAGAAGACGAATTATACGTTAATGTAGAATGAAGACAATATGTAGAAGAACCATTTTACAATAACGTAGAACCTGGTCTAACGGATAGAAGATGTATTCTACCAATATGTAGAATATAGTCTATCTAATAGAACTTGTAATCTACCGTAATATAGAATATAGGTAATATATAGAATACGTTTTCTACCGATCGGTAGAATATATAAAGACTTATAGAAAACGTCTTCTATAGGCTGGTAGAATATGTGAAGAACTATAGAAATGAGATTTTACGTGGACATAGAACATAGAACATGCGTTCTACCAAGCGTAAAACGAATTGTTAAAATATTTTTAAAATATTTTTTTTCCATAAATGATATCCAAAAATATTTTTAATTCCTTTTTAGGTATTTTCGAGATTTTTAAAATGTAATTTTGAATTTATTTTTAATTATAACTGCCATAACGGATTTAAAAGTGTAACTATGTTAAAAAGTGACAAAAAAATAGAAAACATTAAGGATGCAAAAAATAAAACATTAAGAATGAAAGATCTCTGATCCAAAAAATAGAAAAAATAAGTTTGGTAATGATTCAATTAATATTTTTAATTTAACCAATAAAATATTTTTTTTTGTTATAAAAAACCAATAGAGTATTTTGTTTGTTTGGAAATAGGGATTTAATCGTTTTACTAAAACCTTTGATAACAAAGCTTAGTGTTTTATTTTATACAATAGCATAACATTTTTACAGAAAATAAAAAATTAACATAGTGATTTTAAAACTGAATTCATTATGGTTGATAAAACTTCATTTGTAGTTGTCGACATGTAGTAAGTCTTGAACAATATATCTTTCTCACAAACCCTGAAGAGCTGCTTAGCAATCTCATCTAGATCGCCCATCATATTGTTATTGTTGGATACAGATTCTTTGATTTTACCTGTTTCGTAATAAAAGCTTGTTCCTCATGCAAGTAGAATTAGTCTCTTTTGATGTCATGTTTTTGTTAATTAGCTCATATAAACCTGAATCGTTTCTTGCATCAGTGGATATTTAAAGACAAAAATGTTTGAATATATGTAACTACTAACTACAAAAGGAAAAAAATAATAACGAACATTAAACGAATTGTAAATAGTGACTCTCAATCTCATGGCTGTCATCGTCAACATCCAATGCCCCTTCTTCAAACACAACTTCTTGCAGTCATCACTATGATGTACTCATTTTCTAAACCATAATTCTAATTTTGAAAAGTAGATACAGTACTTGTAGTAATAACTACTATTGCTCTTCTCCCCTTTCCAACTAATTTGCTTTAACGACTTTGATTCGAAAGATGGAGATTCAGCTGAAACTGATGAATTCATTTTTGTATATACATTCGAAGATTCCATCAGTCATTGTTGTATATACACAATTTTTTCTTTCAAAATACTTTTATATATTTCTATCTTGTCCTACATCTATCATGCCCCATCTCACATGTTGGAGGTGGGCTTAGCACCCCTAATTAGTTAAGCCCATCTTGGACAATAAAGCCCATAGACCAAGTCAACGAAAACCCAGCCAAAGTCAACGAATCCGGTCAGCATAATCCCGCCAAATCGTCATGATTACGACGCCGATCTACAGTGCGCGGAGCCGAGCAGAAGCTGACACGTTTAAGGGCAGTTCATCTACAGTAGCCTAAGCACGAAAGTAGCTCGGCGAAGGACCGTCATCACACGCTGCGGGGTGGTTCAGACGCACGACTCGAGATACCAAACCCGCGAGACACGCAGAAGCTGCCACATCGCCCCGATTTTGAGGAAACTCGTCTCCCGGCTTCCGCTATAAATATTCCCCATAGATCATTTATGAAGGGATCCGAAATTTATTACTCTCTCTCTCTCTACTTTAATACACTTGTCTCTCTACCGAGCTCGCTGTAACAATAATAAAAGCACCGAACTGGACCTTCTCCAGACTTAGTTCGAAACACCAGTTGTTCTCTCCTTGCAAACACTTCTTACATTTCCGAGCTGAACTTTTTTCTTCCTCCCCGAGATAAATCATTCTTATTATACGGAAATCTCACCCCGAAATCATCTCTAATCGTTCTCATCAACTGTTAAACATACTTAGTGATCTCAAGGATCAACAATTCCGAAATCATCTCTAATCGTTCTCATCAACTGTTAAACATACTTAGTGATCTCAAGGATCAACAATTGGCGCTAGAAGGAGGGGAGTTTAGAGATTTTCTACACGCACAAGAAAGATTTGGAAATGGCAGGAACACTGCCCTCAACCTCAGGAATGTCAAAATCATCATCAGCGACAGCCAAGTCGACAACCACGACACCCGCAGCGCTCACGCCGCCCTCGTCGGTTGTCCACCATAAGGAGGCCGCCATACCAATAGAGACCGGAGTGCCAGCACCGCAGCTACCAGCACCGCCGCTTGATGTGTTCGTGTCAACTACGTGAGGGAACAAGTTTTACCCTTTAGAAAACAAATGAAAGCCGCAAGGGCACAGCTAATCAGTTGTAGTATTTAGAGATTGAATCCACAGAGATTTGTGTGCCTGATATTCTTCTACGGTTTTTAACTTTATTATAGACTAAATTGGTTTTAAAGGTTGGTTGTTTTTATTGCGAATTAAACTAAAACAAAAGAAAGCAAATAAATCTATCCTAAAAAGCAGGTAAGAAAATCGAATGGAATGCAATTAGAATAGGCAAATATCGAATGAAAGACTAATAAGGCAAGTAAGATATCGCATGAAATGTAAATAAAGCAAGTAAATAATGAACTAAGGAAATTGAAATGCAGGTCTAAGAAAGCAAGTAAGAATCGATGGAATTGTAAACTATGGCTAAAAACGCTGAGCTTTTGGGAACTCTAAGGGATCATAATCGGTTTTAACACTAAGGTAGATAGATTGGGATTGACAGATAACGATATATGGGTTCTAGAGCTAGAGTACGGCGGTATGACTACGTCACTGTCGTGATCATAACCAACTGTTTCTCGCAACCCTGACCAGTAGGTTTCCACTCTGGCCCTGGAAGAGAGAGAACGCAAGAGCTGCACAAGACTCGTCAATACTCATGATCTCGCCGCAGGTAGGTTTCCACTCCTACGGAAAAATCGCCTGTTTCATTCTATGGCTGATACTTAATGAAAACTTTCGCAACACTAACTATCTAGATCAGATACTAGGTGATCAATCAAGCATACATGCAATAAGAACAAGAATAAACAGAGAACAGGTCGAAATCCCAGATCTATAAACCTAGATGTCTTAATCGATTATGAGAGCCCCTTTCGGGAACCCTGAGCCCAACTCGGGATCTACTCAGACATGGCTGAGTTCGACATCATCATTGGTTTTAATAAAAGTAATGAAAAACAGTAAAGAAAAGAGATAAAGAAAGCTTCTCTATTGAAGAACTCGGACTTGAACAATCTTCTACAAAAATCTCATAAAAACGGCTAAAGGAAAAGGGTTTTTGTAAAGTATGAAGGGTTCTCTCTAAAAACGACCTAAATGACATGTATTTATAGTCTCCAATACTCCATGGTCTCTAGGGTTCCGGAATTGAGGCTGAGAATGACTTTGGACTTCAGATAAGTGGGCTTTAACTCGGATATTGATTGCCGCGGTCGGGAGTGTTGTGACCGCGGCAATTGGCTTGTTGGCCGCGGTCGGGAAGCTTCTGACCACGGCAAATAGCTTGTTGGCCGCGGTCACGTGAGTTGCTGGCCGACTTCGAGTGGCTCTGGGGCTAATGGAATATCTTGAGATCCAACCGTTCGAATGTCTCCAAACCAAGTGCATTTTGAAAGCTGGTTAATTCTTCTATAAGTTGTCCAATTTTGAGGGTTATCAGACGGTGAGAAGGTCTTCGTCTCTCCATGAGAGTTCTGACGGTCTGCATTTATCCAAAAGAGTCTTTTTGTTCCATTTTGTGCATCTTTATCCCAAATTACCTGAAAAGTCTTTTAAAATCCGGAAACATAGAAATCCTTTGAAAATCTTTGAAAATGGAGTAAAAACACCTGTAAAAGATATTAAAATGATCCATAAAAGTGATCAAAATCCGGTGTTATCACCGCTTCTCCTGGAGTCCGAACTGGAAAGCAGCACTCCCCACCAAATCCTGGAGCAAATGGCGTTACCGGCATGTCCGAGACATGTCACCCTACAGACCCCAGTCGAACAGACCACTCCGGCAAGCGGAGACCACGCCATGGCTCCTCTGCTCCACTCCTTGCTCGACCGAATGGACGAGATGACCCGTCAAACTGACCGAAGGTTCGCCGAGCTCACGGCAGGGCGCAAAGCCCACACAAACCAGCCAGAGAATCCTAGATCCTTGGTTGAACGCGACCTCGAGGAAGCTCATCGCTCAAAAGTGATACTCTTGCAAAGAAACCTCTTCGGTGACTCCCCAACCGAGTCAGCCGGACCAAGTCGGAGGTCCGCCCAGTTGGCAAATCGCTCGGCCAAAATGCGCCCTCAGCATTCTAGCCCGGGGGCGTTCCGACAGATGGCCGCAGAGCGAGACCGCGACGCGGAGATCGAGGCCATCAAGGCAAAAATTTGCGAGATGAACTCCAAGGTCCATCGAGCCACGATATCGGCCCCCGAAATAGATCGTGTCTTGCAGGAAACGCAAAACACACCGTTCACGCACCGAATCGCCTCCACTCCTTTCCGCCACGTCAGCAAAGTGAAGTTCCCACCATACGCCGGAGATACCGATCTCACACAGTATCTAACGACATTCACCATCGCCATGGGACGAGCTCACTTCACGCCCGAAGAGCGCGAGGCCGGACACTGCCAACTCTTTGTGGAAAACCTGGTCAGCCTGGCCCTGACTTGGTTCTCTAGGCTAGAAACACACTCGATCGATAGCTTCAATGTGCTCTCAACCGCTTTCCTCAAACATTATTCTATATTTATCCAGCGTTCTGCTTCAACCGCCGATCTCTGGACCTTGAACCAGGGACCGAAAGAATCTCTCCGGTCATTCATCGAGCGCTTCAAAGCGACGGCCTCCCGCGCCTCAATATCGAACGAGTCCGCCATCCCAGCCCTGAGGAAAGCCCTCCACTTCGACTCAGTCTTCAAGGACGAACTAAAGCTTAATGCGCCGCACACCCTGGAAGACGCATTACACCGCGCCAGGTTACATATTGAAGTCGAGGAGGAGAGGGCAAGTCTTAGGAAGCTCGCTTCCCAGAAAAATCCACCTCAGAAGGAAAAAGCTCAGGACGAGTACCATGAATCCCGCCAGCACTACGACGAGGAATACCAGCGCAGGCAGGTCGCAACTTTTCTCATCAGCGACGCGCCGACCTCATGTCTTGTCGAAGAAGCTCCAGCCGTCTTCCACGTAGACAACCGACCTGGGATGGTCGTGCCCAACTCATCGCAGCAGTACTATCAACAGCCTCTCCCATCAAACAAATAGTATCGCACCGTCGAGGCGCCGCCCCCGGCCCAGGTCTTCCAAGAACGAGCTACCGCTCCCGCTACCAGAGATAACCAGGCGTTCTGCGAGTACCACCAACTGAAGGGGCACTCAACCGAGCAGTGCCGCAAACTTCAGGAAGCCCTCCTCGCTCAGTACCAGAAGGGGGGAATTAGAGTCCCCGACCAGCAGCAACCGCGCGGCCGAGGTCGAAATGATAACCGGCATCGTCAAGACAACCGAGCTCAGCAAGATAATCGCCGCCAGCGCTCTCCCTCTCGCGAGAATGATAGAGTTCAGCCCGTCCAACAACTACAACAACAACAACAACAACAACAACAACAACAACAACAACAACAACAACAACTACAACAACAGTAACAACAGGTCGCACCTCAGAGACAGGCGTCCCCACCGCCGGCTCGAACAATGATCGGAATGATCATGGGCGGTCTCCTGTCCTGCAAAGATTCGGTTCGCTCGATCAAAGTCCACGAGCAGAAGTCCACCCCGACAGAGATGTGGGTGGCAAAGATCAGAGCAACCAACGCTCAGGACACAAGCGGCAGGGGAATAACGTTCTCCGAGGAGGACGCCGAGGGAGTCGACCAACCTCACTAGGACCCCCTCGTCATCCAAATTCGCGTAGCAGACTGCGACGTGACTTGGGTACTTGTCGACACGGGCAGCTCGGTAGATCTCATCTTCAAGGAAACCCTCGAAAAGATGGACTTACACGGCGTCGAGATGAAGCCAACCCTCACTCCCCTGACCGGCTTCGCAGGAGATACTATCACATCGATAGGGACGATCAAGCTGCCGGTCTACGTAGGTCGGGTAACAAAAATAGTCAAATTCACCATCGTCGACTGGCCAACCATATACAATATCATCCTCGGAACTCCTTGGCTACATTCGATGAAGGCGGTCACGTCGGCCTACCACCAGTGCCTCAAATTCCCCAACCAGGCTGGTACATTCACAGTCCGGAGCGACCAGAGGATCTCGCGCTCATACTTCATTCGAGCACAAGCTCCGCAACGCCGCCCGCACTCAGCTCTGCGCCACGATAAGCCGCAACGGAGTCCCTGCCTGCAACATCGTTGGACCTGAACTCCCAGGGGAACCAAGCCAAGCAGATCGTCCTCTCCGAGACCTCATCGTCCAGGTCAACATCGACCCCGATCACGACGACCGCTGCGTTGGCATCGGAGCTGACCTAAAAGAAAGCATCAAGATCGAGCTCATCGGGTTTCTCAAGCAGAATGTCTCGAGCTTCACCTAGTCAACCAGCGACATGCCCGGCATCAACCCGACCATATGCAGCCATGAACTTAATGTCGACCCGACCTTCCGGCCTATCAAGCAGAAGAGGCGAAAGTTAGGCGTCGAACGCGCTCAAGCCGAGAATGACGAGGTGGATAGATTAACGGCAGCTGGGCAAATCACCGAGGTGAAGTATCAGGATTGGCTCGCAAACCCGGGTGTGGTCAAAAAGAAAAACGGCAAGTGGAGAGTCTGCGTGGACTTCACCGACCTCAACAAGGCCTGCCCGAAGGACTGCTTCCCCCTTCCTAGAATCGACCAGGTCGCCGAGGCGACAGCGGGAAATGAGCTACTCTCTTTCATGGACGCCTTCTCGAGCTACAACCAAATCTTCATGCACCCTGACGATAGGGAGAAGACAGCATTCATCACGGACCGCGGAATATACTGCTACAAGGTCATGCCATTCGGACTCAAAAACGCCGGGGCCACCTATCAGCGCCTTGTGAACAAGATGTTCGCCGACCAGCTCGGACGCACAATGGAGGTGTACATAGACGACATGCTTGTCAAATCCATGGTGGCAGGTGATCACGTCGGTCACCTAAAAACGTGTTTCAAAACTCTGAACGAGTACGGCATGAAGCTCAACCCCGCGAAGTGCACCTTCGGTGTCACCTCGGGAGAATTTCTCGGCTATGTGGTCACTCAGCGCGGGATAGAGGCAAACCCGAAGCAAATCCAGGCCGTCCTCGAATTGCAGTCACCAAAAAGCACCCCCGAAGTCAAGCGCCTCACCGGAAGAATTGCCGCCCTCAACCGATTTACCTCGCTATCCACCGATAAATGTCTGCCCTTTTATCAAGTACTCCAAGGAAACAAAAATTGCGAGCTGGTGTTTCAGCAATTAAAGGAATACCTCTCGACTCCGCCCTTCCTGGCCAAGCCCGAAGACGGAGAAACCCTGTACCTGTACATTGCCGTGTCTACCTCGGCTGTAAGCGGTGTCCTTGTTTGAGAAGATCGAGGAGAACAAAAGCCGGTTTTCTACGTCTCTAAATCCCTGGATGGAGCCAAGAGCAGGTACCCAACCATGGAAAAGCTGGTGTTAGCCGTCGTAGTGGCCGCCCGAAAACTTCGCCCCTACTTCCAATCTCACACTGTCGCCGTCCTGACTACGCACCCCCTGCGGACGATCCTGCACAGCCCGAGCCAGTTGGGAAGGATGGCGAAGTGGGCGATAGAACTCAGCGAGTACAACATCGACTATCGAGGGCGGACCGCTGTGAAGTCCCAAGTATTGGCAGATTTCCTCGTCGAGCTCGCTCCCGAACTAGCCGGTCAAGTACCCGATGAGAAATGGAGCCTTCACGTCGATGGCTTGGCCTCTAAACATGGTTCCGGCGTCGGCATCCGCTTGGAATCGCCGACCCACGAGGTACTCGAAAAATCGTTTCGCTTAGCGTTCCAGGCCTCGAACAACGAGGCTGAGTACGAGGCCTTGATAGCCGGCCTATGCCTGGCAAAGGAGATCGGTGTCAGGAAGATCCAGGCATACTCGACTCCCAGCTCGTTGCAAATCAGTTCAGCGGCGAGTATGAAGCCAAGAACGACCGCATGGAAACCCATCTCAAGGTTGTCCAAGACCTGGCCGCCGAGTTCTCCGAATTCCATCTCACCAAGATTCCCCGAGGGGATAATACTTCCGCAGACGCCCTAGCCGCTCTGGCCTCCAACTCGGATCTGACTCAGCGCCGAGTAATCCCCGTCGAAAGCATCGATTCCCCCAGCATAGAGCTCCCGAAGGGCATCTGCCTCATCAACGATTTCCTCGCCGACGAACCAATCGAAGAGCAGGATGCCCAGGACGGCGAGAATCTGCCGCCTCCCCCGCCCGAGCCCGTCAAACCAGATTGGCGAGCTGATATCCTATCATATATCATCAACGGGACGGTCCCTGATGACCGCTGGGCGGCTCGAAGATTAAAGAAAAAGCCGCCAAGTATTTCCAGACCGACGAAAACTTATTTCGGTGGAGCGAAACTTGCGCCCTGCTCAGCTGTCTCCACGGAGACGAAACAATCAACGTCATGAAGGAGATGCACGAAGGCGCCGGAGGAAGCCACTGTACCGGCCGAACTCTCGCACTCCGGATCCGTAACTAAGGGCATTACTGGCCAACCATGGTCGAAGATTGCAACAAGTTCGCAGCCCGGTGTGAGAAATGCCAACGCCACGGCCCCATGATCCATTCTCCCACCGAGCTACTCACCACGGCATTACCGCCCTACCCGTCCATGCGTTGGGCCATGGACATCGTGGGACCACTGCCAAGGTCCCGCCAAAAGCGTTTTCACCTCGTCATGACGGACTACTTCACCAAATGGGTCGAGGCCGAATCCTACGCCCGGATCACCGCCGAGGACGTCCGCAAGTTCGTATGGAAATTTATCATCTGTCGCCACGGTCTGCCCTACGAGATCGTTACGGATAACGGCGCCCAGTTCACATCAATCATTTTCGAGGACTTCTGTGCAAAATGGAAGATCAGGCTGGCAAGTCTACCCCAAGATACCCGCAAGGAAACGGCCAGGCCGAAGCAACGAACAAAACAATCTTGGACGGCCTCAAAAAACGACTAGACGACAAAAAGGGTCTCTCCGTACTACACCTCGGCGCACAACAGGACGAACTCCCTTCAGTCTGTCACACGGCATGGAAGCAATGGCCCCCTCGGAGGTCGGAATCCCCACAATCCGCCGCTCAATGCTCACACAAGACTCTGACCTCAACAGCAACATGATCCGCAGCGAACTCGATTTCGTCGAGGAGGAACGCGACCAGTCTCTGTTTCGCATACAGAATTACCAGCAGCTCGCCTCCAAGTATTATAACAAAAAGGTCAAAGGCAGATTCTTCACAGAAGGCGACCTGGTTTTGCGAAAAGTGTACGAAAACACAGCGGAATTAAATGCGGGCAAGCTCGGAGCCAGCTGGGAAGGCCCTTACCTCATCGCAAAAATCGTCAAACCCGGTGTGTACGAGCTCGTTACTATGGCAGGCGACGCAATCCCGCGCTCATGGAACGTGGCCAATCTCAAGCGATTTTACTACTAGGCACATCTCGGCACTAAGCTCCCGACCTCGAAAATCCAAACCTACCAATGTAAAAATAACCGAACTACGACTGGCTTGATCCCTTCTTCGGAAGGGTACGTAGGCAGCCCTACCCGGGCACAGCTATTATTAATAAAAAATTATATTTCTCTAAATTCGGCTTCCGAGCTCAAATATAGCCGAGTCCTTACTCGCATCCCTAAACACACAAACTAATAGGTGTTTCAGCCGAGTTCCGACTCGCATCTATAGACACACAAACTGTTAAGTGTCTTTAGCCAGATTCCGATCTGCATCGCGCAACACACAACCTATAAGTGTTTTCAGCCGAGCTAGCTACTCGCACTCATAATACAATTTCTGACATATAAGCCGAACTCAATCTCGCATTGTACAGAACTGAAATTTTCCATTGAATTTCTAAATATGTACAAACGGCACAAGGCCTACATCGGAATCTTGGCACTTCGGCCTACAACCCAAAAAAAAAAGGGGGGAGGAGAAAGAGCTCAAGCTTCATTAGCACGCAGGTCCCTAGCATCCTCCGGGCTCAGCATCCGCGCGTTCGTCCCGAATTGACCGCGAAAGGGCTGGGTCGTTTCCGCCGCTCCACCTCT